TTGTCAATACTATGTCATTTCTATGTGTTCATTTTTAAAAGATAATGTTTCATTTTAAAAACTAACAACAATAATTTCAAATATTACAAACTAAAATGATAATATTGAATTTTAAAAACTAAGAACAATAATGTCAAATATTACAAACTAAAAAGATAATGTCTAATTTCAAATATCAGTAATCCCTCTGTGACGCCCACTGCCACTGCTCAAGGGTCCGTTCCAGATCGTCAATAACAGCTCTGCCTGATGCACTCGTCATGCAGTCCCTTTCCTCAAAAAGTCGGTGTCCCAACTGCATAATCTTGCCCATCCACTACACAAAACAAAAAACATGAAACGACGTATTATACATATATATATTAAAATAAGAGAACAACAAATAAAAGATGAGACGTACCGCATAAGAGGCAGTGGCAGGTGGCACATCGTCATCATCTGCGTCGTCGATGTCTTTGATCAACCTCGGGTGCGAGTGCCGGATGTACCATTCCATGTAGTGCTGGTCACACATGGCAGTCACCCCACTTGGCGGCCGCTGCAGCTCCGCCGTCCATAGGCGGGCAACCATCGGAAACTGCTCCCACATGGATATCATGTTTGACGGCCATTGGACGACGTACTCCTTCGACGACGCAGATCGTACCGCCTTACTGGGCCATGCCGGTGGAGGTGGGACAACTTGGACAAATCCAAGCTGGCGAAGACAGCGCTGCGGCATGTACGCCTCTACGATCTCGCGATACTGAATCAGTCCAGTGTAGAGGGTCCTGGGTACCCTATTACTAGGGTTCTGGCCGAAAGGCATCCAGTTCACCTGCACATTATTTAAAATCAGTAACAGTCATAAAATAAAGCATCAGATTGTAAAAAGTAGAAATAATTTAATCACTGTACCTCTAAGGGGGACATCCTGTCAAGCGATAACCGTATGGAGCGCAGGCGGTCAACGGACTTCTTCTCGACACGCGGACTCCACGCACAGGCACGTGGCTGGCCATCACCAATGGGAACCGGGTCGCGGTGTGGTCGAAACGCAGGAAAATACTCGTATATCCAGGTCTGTAACAACGTCAGACATCCAGTGATACCTGCTGCATCAGCCCGGCTCGAGAATCCTAACTGGCGATACAGATACGCCAGCGTAGCCGACCCCCAAGAAAACTGGCCTACTCTGTCGGGCTCACACGCGTCAACTATGTCGCGTGGCCTGAGCTTGTTCCCGCTCTTATCCGGAAACAAGGTACACCCGAGAAGAAGAAAAACATATGCAGCCAGCTGTGTGTCCTGCGTCCTACGTGCCGTAGGGTGCAAACATCGCTGCAAGACGGCTGCGATCTTAACGCCGCCGTGATCCCACACACCAAGTGCCGATGTGTACAGCGCAGCCCTATCCACCGCCAACAGCTCCGCTAGTAAATCTGCCTGATCCGCATCAGTGACGACAGATGCTCGGTTTCCCTCCACGGGAATCCCAAGGATGGCCTCGACGTCATGCAACATGATCGTCATCTCACCGAACGGAAGGTGGAACGAGTTCGTATCCGGCTGCCATCGCTCAACGAAAGCCGTGATCAGCGTCCAGTCAATCCTATCGTGCATGGTGGCAGGAAGGTGACTCACTCTAGTGGCCCTCAATCGCCCGACCATCTCGCTCTCCTCCGGCCAAGCATCAGCCCAGCTACACAAAAACCTACAAGTCTTTTCCCGGGTTTGGCATTTCAAAATGCCTGTATCCAAATCCCTCTCCTGGTCCTCCCAAATACGGGTAGCGATGTGTCCTAAAAAGCTAGGAATCACACTCCCGTCTATAGGTCCCCCGGCCACCTCACCCCTCACCATCCAAGAATCATTAACGGCCCTCGACCGTTTTCTGCTACCCGCAGACACAGTGGACGCAGATGATGTGCCAGATCTACTAACAAACCTACCATCTCGACCCTTACGCACATCTACCCTATGCGTCTCATACGTATCATCAAGTCTCTGACTGAATGGACCGTAATCATCATATGGTCCACTCTGATCGTCGACATCCTCATCTGCATCATCCTCGTCCTCGACCTCCTCCTCCTCGACCTCCTCCTCCTCCTCCTCATCATCATCATCATCATCTTGATCGTCCGCAGAACAGTGCACCCGTTCTCTGCGGGCCGAGGCCGAAATACCACGGGATCTAACGTGTCTGGGCCCCGAGCTCTCCATTGAGTAGATCGTACTCCTCACGACGTCAATACTCTTCCCCGCACCAGGTCTAAATTGCGATGCCTAACTCCAAGTAAATAACGAAACATAATAACGAAAACAAATTAAAAAAAGTCGAAAATAAACACAAAAGCAAATAAACAAGTCACGGAAATAAAATTATAAACATAAAAAATATAAAATTAAAACAAATAAAAAAACAAAATTTAAAAAAAAAAAGATAAAAAAAAAGGGAACATACAATTTAAAAAAAAGAAAAACAAATTTTTAAAAAAAAAAAAAAAATCGAAAATAAAATTTAAAATTAAAAAAAAACAAAAAAAAAATTTAAAAAAAAAAAAAAAGAACGAGGCGCCTAGGCAAGGCGCCTGTACGGTGGTGTCGGCGCCTAGCCCAGACGCCACTACCACGGCCGTGGCGCGTAGCCTCTGCGCCGCCGCCATGGTAGTGGCGTCTGGGCTAGGCGCCGCCACCACCGTACGGGCGCCTTGCCTAGGCGCCTCCGCCGTGGTGGTGGCGTCTCGCCTTGGCGCCCCACCGTCGCCGGAGGTTTTTTTTTTAAAAAAAAATTACAAAAATTAAAAAATTTACCTTCTGGCCGGCAAACCGCCTTCCGCCCACCGCCGGTGCCGCCACTTCCTTGCCGGGCCGCCTCGACATAGCTTTGGAAATAATTTAGAGAGAGAAAGTGGAAGTAGAGAGTAGAGAGAGAAATTGTGTGTTTTTTAGTATGAGGGCAAAAGTGTCATTTCACTCTTATTTTGTGGGCTTTATGTAGGAATTTGCGGGCGATGTTTAACAGTTCACATACTAATACAGCACCCTACAGTTCTAACTCCCGCGCAGAGTATGACTGTATGAGTGATTGTGGGAGTGGGAGAAACGGGGTTAGCTTTTATTTTATTTTATTTTTTTATTTTTTTTTAAAAAAAAAAATTTTCTCTCTCTTTTTTTTTTACAAAAAGAAAAAGGATTGCACTTACAATCAATTCCTAGAAAAATTAGAATTCCAATACAAGTATAAATTACCTTAGAACTAGATACATCGCAGATTCGATCAATGATCGCCTTAATAAAAAACTTCATCCGAAGCAATACAATCTGTGAGTTAACACTAATTCGGCTATCAGTATATTATGGTTAACATTAGTGAAAACAAATAAGTAAATAATATTTTAAAGGGTATAATTGTACAAACACAATTCATAATAGTTAATTAATTAAATCACACACGTTAAAGCTTAAATGTTATATTAGGAGCATATAAGTAAATAATCATTTTAGGGATAGTTAATTTGGATACTAATCAAATGACAATTTTAATTTATCAAATGACAATGATATAAATATTATCATATATTCACAAATTATTGCTTATTCACAGATTACAAAAGATTTTAAATACTAAAATAGTAAAAAGACAGGAAAAACTTGAGTTTAACAATAATCTCTTACTAAAATCTCTCCAAAAGCTTAAGAATGAAAATTGTAATCTAAAAAACGTAGCTAATAAAGATTACAAAAAAGTTTAAATACTCAACCCAAAATTAACTCAAAACATGATTCCTAAACGCCTCTAGAAAAACACGCGCCCGATCGGGCGAAGGGTCACCCGATCAGGGCCGCATTTTTCTTCACACCGCCTTTCAGGGCATCCGCCCGATCGGGCCACAGGCCGCCCAATCGGGCCTGGTCTTTTTCTTAGGCTGAGTCTTATTTTCTTTTCTTCTTTTGGGCTTCAATTACTTGTGGCCCAAATCCTCTTCCTTGGTCCATTACTTGGACCAATTCCACAAACCAAGCCCTTAGTCACCGAAATAATCGGTCTTGGGCTACAAACAACGGTCATGAATGTGATCATAGCTTCGATATCTCGTAGTAGCCGGAAACCATAAAAATCACCAACAAATCGGGGAAATTCCTACAAAATACAATGTCAACCCTACAAAACACTCGAAACCACACATTAGTACTAAAAATAGCCCCGTAGAGCTCAAATATGTATAAAAAATGATTGTGAAACGGGGGATAAAATAGTATATAAAACACATATATCAGTAAATAGGATTTTATATCAGCATGAAATCTTTATATATGAGAATAGGACTTATATAGATGCTATAATGAAATATAGATACACACAATACTAATTCCCATTACATTATAAAATTTGCCAACCCTAAAAATTGAAGAAAGAGAAAATTAAATTACCTTTTAGATTGGGTTTTTGACAACGCATAACAAGACAAACGCTGTTCTTGGCGAAATTTCTAAAAGGATCTAGGATCAAACACTTGATCTACAACATCCATTGATGAAGATAAATACAGGAAATAGAAAATTAAAACTCAATCCCTAAACCCCAAGCAATTCAACTGTTCTAGTATTTTTAGAAAACCCTAAAATTCAACAGCAAATCCCTAATAAAATTAAGGATTTTGATACTGAGGGGAAGAGAAGGATTGAAGAGAAAGAGGAGCAGACAAACCTTGAAAGCGGGAAAACGAAGCTTATTAGGGAAATGACAAATGGGTACTTAAAATAGAACGGGTAGACGATCCTTATATATGAATATGTGTATACGTATTATCGTATTTCCATACAAAGATTCATAAAGACATGAAATTTCAGCATTACCCCTATGCTGGGACATCATCGTGCTGGATTGAGACTGACTCGCATATATATTACCACATATGCATTTCATTTTGTATTTTCCTCAACATGATGTAATTTTATTTAAATTTTAAAAAAAAACTTTTTACATTTGGAAATGGATAGACCCGGATTCAGAAGATCCATAAAACAAGGGGTAATTGAAATCGGCGGATTTGCCTGTTAAACCTCTATTTCCGTCGCTCTTAAAAATGTCCCAATTCTCATTAGCTGGAAACACACTATAAACCCTAGCTAAACCCTAAAATCCTTAAAAACTCTTACCCTCCATAAATTTCTGCAATTAACTCTTCAAATCGTTCAATATTGCTATTTAAATTTGCGTCATCTAGCTTTCGAACCCTAAAATTGCTAGCAATTTGGTGCAATTATTAAGCAAAGAGCGAAAGCATTGTCGGAAGTAGAAGACGAAAAAAGTGAGGAGAGAGAGAAAAAAATGGAGGTTGATAGGGAAGATGGGCGTACGCCAACTATGTTGAGACCTTTGGCTTGTTCTAGAACTGTCCTTAATCGTGCTCATGGTTCTGCTAGTTGGTCCCAAGGTAATTTCTTTTAAATCTTTCTGGGTAATTTTTTCCTCAAATTTGAGTATTGTTTTATGTTTTGATTCACGTTTTGTTGATATTTTGGGTTAATGATGAGGGGGTTTTGATACTCCCTCGGTCCGGAATTAATTGTCACGTTGATAGTGTAATTTGAACTAGCAGTGTGACGCTGATTGAGAGGGTGTTTGATGATTATTTCTGTCTATGTTGCAATGTAGTTTGTCTTGAATGGATTTTGATAGCGGGCCATTTTTGTTGGGTTTGCTATTTTCTCAAAGAAGATAATTTCTTCATGCATTGTTTGATATCAATTAAAAATTGTTTTTTCTTCTTGTCTTCAATGGTGAGTGCTTCTTACATTCTGTAATGCTTGAACTTGCTGCATAAATGCTTTATTTAAAAGGAAGATCGTAGAATGTGGGCCGAGTCCACTTGTTTTTCTTTGTGATTTAATGTTGTATGTGAAGGATCAATATTCAAGCTCAAATGACCATTAGAATTTGGAAGTGCTAGACGTGTGTTTCACCTTGTAAAGCGACAAAATTGTTGAATCTAGATATTGTTATTGTTTCGGGGTCTGGATAATGCCTTGTTCTAATGTAATTGCATAAGGGTTGAGATTTTTTGAAGATGGGTTCACTTTTTATGTTGGATATGATGTTGTTCAGATGTGTAATTTCGTATATTTTTGTTTTATAGGGATACCAAAGTGTTAGCTGCAGTTTATGGACCAAAGGCTGGGACTAAGAAGAATGAAAATCCAGAGAAGGCTTCAATTGAAGTTATTTGGAAGCCCAAAATAGGACAAATTGGTAAGGTTAGCTTAATATTGTTTAACATCCATGCTCTCGCTTATATGTTAACCCTCGTGAATCTGATTAGCTACTACTGGTGTAGAGTATGCATTCATGAAATTCATGTATTTATATGTCAATGTTCATTTTATTTGTTGTCTCTACTTGTTAATAATTGCTTCCATTTGCCAAATACTGCTGATGAATTTTTAGATAAGTTAAAATTCGAATATGTTGCAACGCCTTTCCTGAATTGTGGTTATTAGGGAAATGATCTGCTTATATATGAATGATTTTTAGTCAATTTTATGTGTATGAGGATTTTTTTTTTGCCGAATGTTATAATCTTATCCAATTCTCATTGGTTGTTCCTTGATGGTTTTTGGTGACATCCCTGGACATGCATATTTAATTGATTTGAATTTTGTTCTCCCCTAGACCTAGTATCAGGATTCAATCATCTAATAACATTTTATCAACTAGGTAAATTGGAGAGGGAATATGAGATGATTCTGAAGAGAACATTACAAAGTATCTGTATATTGACTGTCAACCCAAATACAACCACCTCAATAATTGTTCAGGTAAGGCTTTATTTTTTACTTGCTCTTCTGCATTGGCTCTTTGGATGCCATGAATAAATATTTACACAAAATCCTTTGGACTCAAACTGATTATGTTCTTGTTCCACCTAAAATCGGTTACTGTTGCAATTTATGAGTATCTGCTTTGTGTAATATATACTCGGTAGTTATTTGATGCACTGTTTCTGACTTTTCTTGCGACCTTGTTCTCTTTTCCTAATTGTTATATACAAATATGTAAAGATTTTGTTTTGGTAGGAATTTATTTTGAAAATAATTTTGATAATATATTAGACACCTACTTACTTCTGATGTTATGTTCCATTCATAGTCTTGAGTACTTCTATTAAAAAGAACAAAAATGGTCTTTTCTCCATAGTGACATTCTTATTCACTTCTATTGTTATCACACAATACGTAAGAAGATTGTCTTGCACGGCTTCTGTTGTGGACCTTGTGGTTACATTGATGAATTGTTCTACAGGTTCCATCTGATTCTTTAGATCTTGAGGGAGTTGGAATTTAAATAACATAAAAATAATTTTTATTTATTTCATTATTATTTTTTTTTAATGTTAAACTTGGGGGGGGGGGGGAGGGGGCTTTTTAAGTTGCTTGAGAAAATACTCTGTTCTATTTTCTTCTACCTATTTAAAATTTACTGGCCTTCAAATTTGTCAAACTATCAGTGAAGATCCTTTACATTATGCATCTGCAGAAGGCATATGATGTTATACACTTGATCTCTGAATATCAGGTAAGTAATGTTGAAATTCAAGGTAACTGATGCCAGTTTCTCTGCAGAACCCAGAAATTTGTAAATTTTTTTTTTTAAAAGGAAAAACCTTTTAAACTATGGTGAATTTTGCATACTTTTACTTTGCAACATGTTGCGGAGGGGCATTAGGGGTGGATTTAATCAAGGATGAAATGTGGGGTGTTTAATATACTTTCTGACATAAAAGTTTTTTGGCCAAGTGAAATGTCTTCTTTATTATAATCTCCGAGGATCTTGCAAGAATATGATACCAACAAAACCAACAGTTACATAATTATGATGTACATCTCCCCTTCAAGTTCCTAGCATAAAAGCATTTTATAAGGTTTTGGTACTGATGTTTGTGTGTGTGTGTGTGTGCGGGTGCGAGGGGTGGGAAAGCAGTAAGTGGCTTTAGTGCCTTTTATGCTCTTCACCTTTTTGGCTATGAAAAGGGGTTGAAAACCATTATAGGTCCCACTGTTAGATTAATCACATCTACCTTGGTTTTTTTAGGTTTCCAAACCCCTAGATTGTTTTCTCTAAACCTTAGTGTTTTGGACTATAATAAACCTTAGTGTCCACTATTTCTTTTTTGTGAATATAATTTTTTTTTTCAAGGAAAATACATATAGCAACATTATCCATTCCTGTGAATTTATTTAATACTATTAGTCTTTAGACTTTTGAAGGGAAGTTGTATCCTTCAGTGCAAGCTGTATATGCCAAAACATCTCAGTAAACTCTTATAGGGGAGATCTTGCTTTTTAACCTTTTAAAACCTAGTGTACAGTGTACTTGAGGATTTTCTCTGAAGGGAATTATGGGGAGTTTTGGAATAGTTCTAATAACTTTCCAAACAGAGATACTTTTGTATATGTTCCATCCCATAAAGATATTTCTATCAAACTCTACACAAATAGTAAGTGCAATTGGTGTGTAAGGTTTAGCTTATAGAATGCTAGGATAAGAAGAATGGCGAAAGATGTTGGGTGAATACGCTATATGCATTTTTTTTTTCAACCAAATAGACAATAAAATTGGACATATCATTATTCAAAGGAGGGCATTCGTTATGGTGCTGATGGATAAACATTAGGAGATTTTGAATAATTTATGGAGATAATGAGCGTTGCTCTTACTTTCTCAAGCCTATATCATTAATAAATTTGTCGTGTAATTCTTAATTTGAGATAGGGCATTCTCAAAGATGAAATCTGTTTGCAGGTAAACGCCTTTAACGAGTGACGGAGACCAACTAATGTTGTTAATTACATTTATTATCTAATGTTTTGATTGCTCCTTCTCATGTTTGTTAATTCGATGTGAGTTTATTTATTAACTGAAACCACAGCCAAACTACCCCCAATCACCACTAACTCACTACAGTTTTAGAAAGAAGAAAATTGGAGCGTTCAGAAATTATCTTATTGTATGTGATGGTGCTTGCAAATATTCTTTACTTATTTTCAAACTGAACTGCTCTTCTATAACAAGCCACCAAATTGCACCTAGCATATCAATCCAACCCTTTTCATGTCCCCACTCCCCACCCATATTGGAAAAAGGCTGTTGTAATGTTTTTTGTGTGTGTTTTATTTGCAGGTTGTCAATGATGATGGTGCTGTATCCTTAAATTAATCTACATACATAATGTCTTGTTGTACACTTCGATGTTCTTACTATTTTCTTATCAACTTTGTCTTCTAGTTTTACCTGTGATTTTTTTTTCCCCTGTGTTTATTTTATTTCCAATTTCCAAACTGCTTGGCTTCTAGCTGATGTGGTGCTGATAATGAGCAAAAATTTGACCACTGACCTTGTGTCCTTGTTTACATACTTGGTTTAATCCCTAGTTTGCTTTGCTTTTTTTTTTTTTTTTTTTTTTTTTTTTTTGACAGGAAGCAAAAGCCTTTTATTAAGCGTTACTAGTCCATGTGTAAGAAATATGCCTTGAATCAGTGACCGAGTTGTTACACGGTCGTGTAGTCCATTTTACACGATCGTGTAGTCCGTGTTACTATGTACTCTTCAATATACACAGCCATGTGGTTCATGGTACATGGTTGTGTAGTTCCGCTACTACAAAACTTGTCACACGGTCTGTGGTTTAGGGTACACGACCGTGTAGCTGGGCGCACTACTTTGCTCTGCGATATACACGGCCGTGTGGTTCAAGACTTCAAGGAACACGACCATGTGGTTTTGGTCCGTGTGGTTATTGTTTGGGCTTTTGGCCCAAATCAGTTTCTGTTTTAGGAGAGTATTATAAATACCACTTAGGGTTAATTCTAGTCACCATGATGTTCATTATCAATCTGAATTTCCTCAAGATCAATAAAGCTTCTCTCTCGCCTGCCCGTGGACGAAGCCAAACACACTGTTGGTGAACCACGTAAATCTGTGTGCTATTTATTGATTTTGCATTCGTTAATTTGTTCTTTCTCACATCCTTTACAACACCATAAATCTAAATCCAATCACAAGATCTTTTATCATTAAAATTTCCTTGACTGAAACTGCACTAGCTTCTTCCTTGTGCAATTAATGCTGCTTGTGCTGCACTTGTTGATGCTGGAATCCCTCTGAAGCATCTTGCTGGTATTTTTTAACTCCTTCCTCAATTAGGTGAATGACACGAATGTTTCAAATTTTAAGTCTTGTCTAGATTTAAACACCTTAGTGTAACAATAAGATTTTTCATGCATTGAGGTACTTTTGAGAGCCTTAGACGTGTGATTATGTACAGATATCTTTGTTTGTAATTTTTAATTTTTATTATAACAGTACAGTTATTCTGTGCTGCAGTTGCAATATGCTGTTGTTTGGCTGAAACAGGATGTATTATATTGGATCCTACAAAACTAGAAGAGCAGGTAACTGATGCTCTTTTTTTTTTCCTTAAAATTCTGTATGGTATCTTACTAACTGGTGATTGGCCAATGTTTCTTAAAATTTTGAGAAGAATAACCATCCTCTCATTAAGAAATAGTATTCTAGAAGTTAAAGGCTTAAAATCTTTAAAAGGTTCTCAATATGTGAAAAGTTGGACTATAGCTACTCCTGTTTTCAGTCCACCAGGGCCTACCCTCTACCCTAACTTAGAGAAGCAAATTCTTATTTGTTTTTATTATTATAATTTTTGTTTCTGGTGTTGAGGGGAAATGTGAGGGGTTATGTGTTGCAAATTGTGAATGGAACATCTACTTCATCTGAGTATATTTGTGTGCTGGCAGAAAATGAAGGCATTTGTGTATTTGGTGTTCCCAAATTCCGTGTTATCAGTTGTACAAGATTCAGGCCCTACAAATGATGAACCAATGGAGCACGGAATTATCACATCCGTTACCCATGGAGCAATGTCAGGTACTTGTCATTGTTAATTGTACATTGCCCTCTCTCTGTCACAGCCAATTATATGAACGCACGCATGTACATGTAATATAAACCGCTTAATATTGTAGTAAGCATCATGAAGTAGGTAGTTCTTCCCAATTTAAATATGAGGTGTTGAGCCTTTAATATATGAGCTGCAATGACACTTAAAAGGGACTTGATAGGGCCATCTTAGTTGTCCTATTCTCTATGCAGTTACATTGCTACTATAAGCAATGTATAGCTTTGAAGATATTGTTGGATGCTCTCGGGTGAACTGGCGTGTAATTGCCTGCTTCCCAACCCCTGTCGTTGGGTGGCTCTTATGATAGATGTTAACTTTACATTAATGCACTTAATTTCGTAGTAAAGACTATGCCTAATTTTTGGGTTTAATGAAAGGGTGGTTGATGGGTTCATTAATTTTTAATCAACATCTTCACTCAGGCTTTGTCATGTATGAACCAGGATAATTTGTCATTCAGAATTATTTCTGACGCCCAATTGCTCAACAAGAGCAAAATATTTACTCAAGCATTTTGGAGCAATTAACCAGTGGATAAAAGTTAAAATTAATTTTATAACAGTTTAGAACTCACTACCATTTTTCTACTAATGAACGGGCAGACTTAATCCAAAAGTCACTTATATCCTGAGTATTTTTTTATCTTTGAAATGGAACTAAGTCGCATCTAGTGTAACTTCCATTAGGATACTCTTATTTGTGGAGATGGATTGCCAGATTATTGCAACTGGTGTATGCTGTAATAACTTATTTTTTTCAACCAATCCTTACTTGGTCTAGTGGTTATTTGGCTATTTCCTTATTTCCTCCTGATCTTTAGGTCATGGGATTAAGTCCAGCCAGAGGCTCTTTGGGGTAGGACCCTAAACTGCTTAAGGGAACTCTATTCTTTATTCTATTCTTTTGGAGCCTTGCATCAGTGTAATGCTTACTTCTTGTTTATAATGTTTACTTTGCCTTCTCTTTTGAAACATGGTAGAACTGAACTTTAGGCTCTAAATATGCATGGGTGCTGGGTAGTATGGTTCCACAGTAAAATTGTTGGCTATATTCATGGTTTTTGTTGCATACTCCGTATATGATTACCATAAATTTATGTGTATTTCCTCCGTTTCAATTTGATCATCTATTTTGACTTTTTATAGTCAAACTTTTAAAACTTTGACCAAAAGCTCACAGTGAGATAAATATAGTCACGTAAGATATTATTAGATTCGTCTCCAGGTGTAGTTTTATAATATCAGATTTTTATAATTTTTGTTAATATATAATTTAATATATTGATGGTCAAATGTGTATCTTAAAGGCCGTGCAAAGTCAAAATGGGAGTTATGGGACTATCAAATTGAAATGGAGGGAGTAGAGTTTTTATTGGTACCCTCGTTTCTGCATCATCACCAGTTTTAATGAGATTTAATCTATACCTTTCTCTTGCAGTTGATGACTATTTTAACTGTCTCAAGAGCGGACGAGCTGCAACAGCAAAACTCTCTAATTTTCTAAGAAGCCGCTTGCAAAATCGTCTTCCAAGCGACCTGCTTGGGGATACATGATTTATCTGGTGAGGTAAATTGTACGATTACTGTCGTTATGAGATAAATTTTTCACATAGTTACTTCTTCCTGTATCTACTTCCATCTGATATGAACAGCTGTACTTTGTATTATTTATTTCTAGCTGAGTCTGCATTACTTGTGAGTGTGACATTGAAAGCAATTTTACTTCTGGCTTTTTAAGCTCAATATTGTCAGTATATTTAGAGTTCTTCATTAAGCTGTAGCTGCAATATTTAAAGATAATTACTGTCACTGTCTTTTAATGATCAAAAGCTAGACTGTCAAACAAATTTATGGGTTCTCAGATGACAGTAAATTCATTTAATGTAGAAATCTAATTGTGTTGGTGTTTTGAAATATAGTAATGTTCATTTTAATTCCAACAAAGTCGTAATGAAAATGGTAAGATTTTGTCCGGGAAGAGGATATAAGTTTCAACAAGTATGCCTATTACAGTATAAGGATCAAATCTAATGTACTAGTATTCAATCTAATGCACAACCGTTTGTTGGTTGAGTTGCACTTGTATGATACCTCTGTTAGAGTTTGGACTGCTGCTATATTCGAAACTTACATCCTTAGTCGATTTTTACAACTATTATGCACATCTTTGATGACCATCAAATATCTTGTTGAAATTTACTAATCCCTACAGAGACCCTAATGGCCTAACCATTGCCATCCCTAATTGGAACCAAACTAGGCCAAATAAAATATCTAAGCAAATTTAAAAAATGTTTGTCAACATTTGCTGAGATTTTTTATTTGGCCTAGTTTTCATTTTTTGTCTAGGATAAGTATGCTTCAAATTCTAAAAGGTAAAAGAAAATTATAAGAATCTTAGAAACCAAGTTAAAATATACAAACACTTCCTTCGCCTCAAATCATCTGTTTTATCTTTTTTATGCCAAATATCTAAAATTAATGTGTTTCACTCTTTAATTTTGTAATCATCTTCGATACCACACTTGAATTTATTTTTTTCTACCTTTTCACAAATCACAACTCTTAAAACTTGTGTCATAACTTATGGAGCAAGTACATAAGGATAAAAGAGTATAATTTTTCCGTTCTCATCCATAGATGGGACATGCAATATGGATTTGAAATAAATTGAAAGAGAAAGAACAAAGTAATGTCGTCCTAATGCAAACTGATTTTATATGATGGAAGAAAATAAATGCACACATGGGTTGTGTTAAGAATTTAAGACAACTAGTAACTTATGGGTAAAATAAGTACATACAACAATAACATGTAGATGCCTCAAAGAGTGAGGGATAACTCAGTTGATTAGAGTTTTTTTTTCTGATTTCAGGAGAGTTCGGGATCGATTCCAATCACCTACCCTTATGGCTCTCTAAATACCAAAAAAACAAGTAGTAGATGCCTCAGCTTATATATATATATATAGAATGATGCCCTTGTTTTGAATGGACAAGAGTACAGATTGGAACCAAGCATAGCCTGATCTAGTGATAAGGTTTGCATCTTACAACCATGAGGTTGTGGGATCAAACCCCACTAGAGGAACTTTGGGTTGGGGATTCCCTTACCTTTCCCCTCCATTTTCAAAGTGCCTAGCCCGATAACCCGGGCTGGGAGGACCTGTGAGGTTTCGGCCTGGTAGTAACTTATGGATAAAATAAGTACATACAACATTAACATGTAGATGCCTCAAAGAGTGAGGGATAGCTCAGTTGATTAGAGTTTTTTTTTTTTTTTTTTTTTTTTTTTTCTGATTTCAGGAGAGTTTGGAATTGATTCCAATCACCTACCCTTATGGCTCTCTAAATACCAAAAAAACAAGTAGTAGATGCCTCAACATATATATATATATATATATATATATATATATATATATATATATATAGAATGACGCCCTTGTTTTGAATGGACAAGAATACAGATTGGAATCAAGCATAGTTTGGTCTAGTGGTAAGGTTTGCATCTTACAACCATGAGGTTGTGGGATCAAACCCCACTAGAGGAACTTTGAGGTAGGGATTCCCTTACCTTTCCCCTCCATTTTCAAAGTGCTTAGCCCAATAACTCAGGCTGGGAGGACCTGTGAGGTTCTAAAAAAAAAAAGAGTACCAAGTAGAGGTTCAATATTGGCCCAGTATCCACCATTTTGTTACAACTACTAATATACTGTTTTGTTTGGATTTAATTGTCACATATTTGAATTACAAAATTAATGTGATTTTTAATTTAGAATCAAGTGAGTATAATATTATGAATTTTGGGGCTGTTCATGGATTTCAAAAGCTCCATTTATTATGCCTTAATTATTGAAGTTGAGCTGGCTCGTTAATTTTACTAACTAGATCAGTGTCCGTGCGATGTACCGTAGTAATAATCTTTTTTCTATAATTAATTGTGATATAATATAAAAATGAGGCAACTGATATGGAATAAACAAATGCAACGCATATAGAAAAATAAAATAATAAGGCAAAAATTATTAAAACTACAATCGAGAAAAAAAATTATTGTTGATTAGTTGTGTTGAAAATATTTAAAAGTTGTATAAATTATATTACATTAATGATGCATATTATTCCCAATAAAATTATACAATCTAGTGACTCTATGACTAACGACTTATTTATAAATGTCTTTTAATAAACATGAAAATATTAATCAAACAACAAAATAAAATCTACAGTAAAACTATTAGCACAACATACATGTAAATATATAAATTACAAATAATATATCACCTTTAATTTATATCCAATAAAATAATTTCAATGGAAATAAATACTACCCGGATCATAAAAGACAATAATAATTAACAATTAGGCAACACTAACCTATATTATTAATAGTACATTTTCTATTTATGAATTGAATCTCTAAATGATATCGTCGCTCTTTGTTATTATATAAAAATATGTTTGAAGCTATCCAACAATTGTAATTTGATCATTGTTTGTTATTGCCTTAAAAGTTTATTTGTAAATGATAGATATTTATTGAAAAAAGGATACATAAGAAGATGTCACTTGTCACTATATCCGGCGTGTCTTTTACTATGCATCTTATTTATAATGTTGAATGAAATAAATTTATTATTTCAATCACATGTTTCAGCAAAAGATAATTTTTTTTTTTTTGGATTTACTAAGATATTAATTTATTTAATTACGTAATAGCAAAAAAAATTGATTGATATTTCACATTTTCCTAGAATTAAACCTATGATATAGTTGTTGAGCACAATATTTATTATATAGTCATATGTAATACTCCATTAGTCTAAGAAACAAAATATTAGAGGTATTTCAAAAAAATATTAAAGTGATGTTTTAAAGTAATTTCTTTAATATCAATTATATGAATCAATTTTATTATTTCTTTTTGGGCAAAATTCAATAATACTCCGTCTAAAAGATGTCTAGCGGTAATAACAGTATTTTGTAGCTGAATCAGTGGCTCACTGTTTCTATAATTAAAAAACAGTTAGAATAATATCCGTGCTTTGCACGAGATATATTATATGCGAAAGAAACAACACAAAGTGAAATATCGGTTACGTTGTTTCACATTACTCCAAGTTTATAAAATTCATGTTATATATATATATATATATATATATATATATATATATATATATATATATATAATATAATATAATATAATATAATATAATAAAAAAAATGTGTGATCAATATAATTTGAGTATTGGGGATTTGGGGGATTGTGGTGAATTGACTCTACAATTATATAATAGATTTTAGGTAAATGTGTATGGAAGAATTAAGAATATGAAAAAAAAAAAACTGCATTTTATGTAAAGATAATATATAAGATTTGGAATAATATTATTATAGTTGTATACTGTATTATACAAATATTCCAAAAATAAAAGAATTTTTGCTAAAAGGGGAGGAGAGTTTTGGAGGAAAAAAATAATACCAAGAAGTGACACGTGTTATTCTTGGTGTTATTTTAGTATTATGTTATTCATACAAGTCGAGTTTAAGTCAAGTTTATAGCTAATGCTTGAGAGTAATTTTCATCTCCTTAATGAAGAAGTACAAGTACATATCAACTTGATACTTCTCATTACCATAAGTAACGAAGCATATATACAAAAGAAGTTGTCTTTCACCAAACTCTTTCACACGAACCTCCAACTTGATTAGTGTACGTATGGTGACAAATCAATGACCTAACTATATAAGAGATCGTTATGTTTATTATTAGCTCTTTAATTAAATTTTGAGCTGAGTAAACCTTGACCTCTCAGTTTTAATTTTTTTGCAGTGAATTTAATTACTAAGCCAAATGATCAAGGGATTAGCTAACTTTAAAGCACGTCACTATCAACAAGCACACTACAATTTCAGCGTGTTTAGTGTGCGGCTGGGCATATCATATAACTGTTTGTAAAAGAACAAACTAATCCCATAACACTGACCGAGTAACCCCTATAACACTGACGAACTAACCCTGTAACACTAATTAAGTATCTTTATAACAATAACGAAGTAACCCCATGATAGCTGGTCACATATAAGAATTTGTGTTACAATTTAAAAAAAGACAAAAAAAAAAGGTGGAGGTCTTTCTCTTTCTTTTTTTTTTTTTTTTTTTTTTGGAAAAAGATATATGTAGCCCTTAAGGCTGCATATAAGAGCTAAAAGTGAAAAGAATAGACAATAAATAAACATTTATTATACCGATTTACTCGTAAATTGTCGATAAATTCCCAACTTAATACTAAAAAAGGAAGTATATTAAATGCTTATATACAACGTTACCCTTTTTTTCCCCTCTTTTTCAACGGCCTTTCTCAACTAATAAGTGTACATATACAAAGTTTTACAGGTTGACACACACACGTTAAATTTAATGAATTTTGTTTAAAATTTAGAGCTACATGTCCTTATGCCTAATTTTATGTGCCTCGATGTCTTGGATGTATGTTTTCAATAACGAATTGTCCAATATTCATAAGTCATAACATTATATAACAAGGTGCTAACTTGGCTTATGATGACATCGTTACCCATTCAACTAATTGGAAACATCCAACCTCATCTCATATTCGTTACCCATTTTTGAGTTGACGGAACCTTTAATTCACATTTGTCCATAAACATTATTTTTATAATTTTATAAAGGAAAATGATAAGAACCTAAAAGATCAGAAGAAAGTGTTCACTAATTATACTGATTTACGCCTGATTTGTTTATGCATTTCTCAACTAATACAGAGTACCATATCAGAAAAGATATATAATGCTTGTTTATAGCTTATTGGGTAGCATTACCCTTTTATAATTTGTATACCCGACCCTTTTCATTACTAATTACCACAACAATTAAACCTAAAATTAGCTTAGTAAGTACTCCATATATATGTCATAAAATCATATATAACGAATCAAATTAAATAGTCTCCTAATCAAACATTATTTGGCCTTTTGTAAACTATTCTTGTGGTGATAGATGCAACGATGTGTTCAATATATACTTCAGTGCAATAAATTTAAACTATTTTTGCGGTCGATACAATAATGATTTTAATTCATGCACACATTTTCTTACGTGCATTTTTTTTGGTGCGAATTTTTCTTACATACATAAAAATAAACAGATTAATTTTTGTGGGGGCATAATAAATTGTTGCTTAATTTGAATTGCGTGTTTAAATGCATGCCATTTCCTCAACCAACTTTAAGCATTACATTGCCAAAAATCTTTACTCCTTATGTAAGTTTTCATTAAATTACGATTAGCCAACTTTTCGGCGTTTTTTAAATGCGTCTTGCATGCTTAAATGCCCTACACGTACCACCTTACAACGTAACGTTTTCCATAATTTCTTCACTTTCTATTCAATTTCTTTCTTTCTAACTATGAACCACACCATACAAAGCGTCAATATTATTGAGAGAAATAGTTCTATGTCTAGTTTTTTTCATGATGATGAAGATGATGAAGCCTATAAAGAAGTTCATCAATCACCAAGTTTTAATCAATTTTCGCTACACCACCTTAGCTTCATCCCCGAACCACCATCATCGCCATCACCATTGCTCCCACCAAGTCCCGAATCCATATGGTCTCGTTCACCTCTATTGACCCCTACTCACCCATCTCTACTTTATTGTTGTATTTCATCTATGCATCGCGATGGAGATATCTACTCCATCGCGGTGTCAAATGACCTAGTGCTAACTGGCTCATCTAGCCATCGTATCCATGCTTGGAAGCCACTTGACTGCCATGCAAAAGGGTACATACATGCAAGCTCGGGTGAGGTTCGAGCCATGGTGGCTCATGGTGAGGTACTCTTTACATCACACAAGGATCACAAGATTAGGGTTTGGAACATGAAGGATTGTAGTGGTAATAGTAGTAGTAGCAGCTTTAGACCTAGGAAGTTAACTACCCTACCAAATGATAGTCATTTCAAAAAAAATCATTTCTAGGCCAATTACCCCACAAATTAAGGGCACTTCTAAGCCAATAATTATCCCACAACATAGGGACACTATCTCTTGCATGGCTTACTACCATGTTGAAGGGATTCTATACACCGGCTCATTCGATCGAACCGTTAAAGCTTGGAGGATTAATGAGAAGAAATGTGTAGACTCATTTATAGCTCATGGTGGTAATATAAATGATATGGTGGTTAACCAACAAAATGGCTATCTTATTACGTGTTCGTCCGATGGAACGGTAAAAATGTGGTTAAGGGTTTATGGTGAAAACTCCCATGCCTTAATCAGGGTTCTTGTATTTCATGCCTACCCTTTTCATGCCTTAGCCTTTAGTGTCGCGGTGTCAAATAAGAGCTTCTTGTATTCGGGGTCTACGGATGGTACGATAAACTATTGGGAGCAAGAGATTTCTTGTAGGTACACTCATGGAGGGTTCTTACAAGGGCATAGGTTCGCAGTCCTTAGCCTTGTGACTATTGAGAATATAGTGATTAGTGGATCTGAGGACTCGACGATTAGGATATGGAAAAGAGAAAAAGGAAGAGGTAATATACACGAGTGCCTCGCCGTGTTGGAAGGTCATAGAGGGCCTGTAAGATGCTTGGCTACTTTCTTACAAAAGGATAAGTTTGCGTTGAGTTTCTTGGTGTATAGTGCTAGTTTGGATCAAACGTTTAAGGCGTGGAGAGTTAAGTTGTCTCCGGAAGTAAAGAAATCGCCTTTCGGAGATGATGATGATGATAGGGAGGAGAGTAAATCTCAAATGGAGTTTGAGACAAGTCCTGTGTTGTCTCCTTCATGGGTGAAGAAGAAGCTCCAAATTAGTCGCAGTTTACATAAGTTGGTTTAATAATTTAATTACATGATGATTAAGTTTTATGTAGTGTGTTATTTAATTATATTTATATTAGTATAGACCATATTATTACTCTCATAAGTTATCTTATTTATCCTAATTCCATACCTAGCTATGCCCTCTAGGTTATTACATTTAATTTATTTGTGCGACAAAGTATTGTATACTTAATATATGTATTAAAGTTTTCAATAAATCTTGGAACAAAAAAAGATGTACCACGATCTATCAATAGCAAAATTAACTTGCCCTGCCTACGACCTCAAATCCTTTGACCTAGAATACAATAAAAGATTAAAAAAATATAAAGTTTTATTTATTTTAGGTACAACCAATCATAAATAATCGATAGTAATTTAAACGGAATTTGATCACATATATATATTTAGGATTTCATATCATCCTATATTCTTCTATGTATGTTGTTGATGTAGAGTCTACTATGTTTTGTTTAGGCATGTAAGTATGAGTAGGTGTCTAAACCATAAATAGAATCACAACTTAGTTTTTCTTTCAAGTTGACACTTGACTTTTTTAGATAAGAATTGACACTTGAGTTTCTAATCTGTGCCAATTAATGCATGAAATCACCCTTCTACACATGCTTTTGCTTAATAAAACATAATCCCTCCGTTATGTTCTTGAGAGTCCTTTTGGTTTGAGCTCGGAACTAACGTTCTGATTTATCTTTTTTTTAGGATGGTTTAGAAATTGAAAATTGAAATGAATTAAAAAAAAAATAAAAAATTCTCACATAATTATGTTCTGAAGCATATGTATAGTTTTAACGTATTAGATTTTATTACATTGGAAAAATTATGTGGATCGAGTACGTATGTTGTTGTCATATCTTCAAGTATTGTAAAATGTTACAAAGTTGATGTATTAATCAGGAAATACACCTACAACAATGTTTAGAGCCCCTAAGCTTAAAGGAAAATTTATCCAAATAAAATTTTATAATTTAATCATATTATTTTTTATAGTTGACATATTATTACTTTTAACACTATATATATAAGTTACTTTTGGATGACATTCTTATGATTTATATACTTAAGAATAACATAATTATGTAGAGTTTTTTTAGATTTGTTAATTCACTATATAATTTTTTTTTTTATTAATAGTCGAAGATATTTAGAAGTACTAGAAAATACGTTAGTCCAAAAGAGTTTCAACTAAATTGATAGAAACAAAGGAATTGCAACTTGATTAGTTATGTAATTTACATATTCTAACTCTATAACACTCGTTTTATAGGTTAAAAAGTAAAGTAGAAACTCGTTGCGCATCAAAATTATCTTGTAAGTATTGTTTATAATTGAAGTCTAATATTAGTACTTTTGCAGAATCATTAATTACTCTGTATTTCATTTCACTATTGCTGTGTCCTTTCAACCGTTGTATAGTTTGTCTTTTTTTCTTCTTCTTTTTTTTTTTTTTTTTTTTTTTTTTGTGAGTTTACTGAGTTATTATTAGAGAAGTTTGCAAATGTTGTAATCAATTGTTGGACAGTATAATTGATCTGTCATGGTCACATATATATGTATCACATGTATCTGATGTATGTCACTATTGCATTGATAATTTCTTGAACATACATGCATCAAAGGTTCTATGATTATATTGTAAAAATTGAGTACGGCCTTGATATACCAAATAAGAAGTACTGTATAAGTTATCTAGCTTTAAGTTTTGTCTCATTTTACTTTTCACGATATCTTATACACATTTTAAAGTATATATTTTACATGTAAACTATGTAATTTTGATTCCATATTTCATATAACCATATATTGTCAGTTGTGAATAAGTGATATTTTGGATAAAAGTTTTTAAAGTTTATGCTATAGAAAAGTGCAATGGAACAATATTCAAAAAAGACTTATGTTGTTTTTTATAGGCCAATATTCCATTAAATCATCCACTTAATTGCAAAGTTACATCAAGAAGCTTGCTCTTTTCGCAAATGCTCAAGTGCAACAAATTACATTTTAATTTGCACAATAATGACATTAGAAAGCTTCATCATCTCTTGTAAGAGGAACATGAGATCTAACAATGAAAAAGTTGTCACAAATGAGCCCACCAAGAGCTCCACCAATGAGTGGGCCAACCCAATAAACCCAGTGATCAGTCCAGTTCCAGCTTACAAGAGCCGGCCCAAATGATCTAGCTGGGTTCATTGATGCCCCAGAGAAAAGCCCACCAGCAAAGATGTTGGCCCCAACCACAAGCCCAGTTAGCAATATACCTTGGCTTTGAAGTGGGCCCTTCTTTGGGTCTACAATGGTTGTGTAAATTGTGAAGAGGAGAGAAAATGTTAGGATCACTTCCATTACCAATCCTTGTAGAGGGTCCACCCCCTTTGGAAGAGAGTGTATAGGGGTTACCTGCATTGTTAAAGGCAAAAACGTCAAAATTAATACTCCCTACGTTTTATAGTTTTTTTTATTCACCGATATGATTAAAACTTTAATTATTATATTATTCCGCTGTTCAAAAATAGGAGTCACATAGGGCAGGACCGTAGAGTCGTCTTTGCCCACAATTATCTGCAACATTTGCCATAAATGGGTGCTCTCTATTATGTGTAACAAATTTTTTTCTTTCTCTTTTAGTAAATTTTAAAGAGTAAAAAGACCACCTTACCCTTACTTTTATTTTTTAACTTTATTTAACATCTTTTAATTACACTCAATTTTCCACCTTTTTCCCACTCACCCAAAAACAAAAAATTAAGGGACCACTTCTTTCCCTCCTTTTTCCCACTTAATTAAACCCACTCAAATTTAATTAAATTCCACTAAAATTTTTGCCTAGGAGTCCGCAAAAAGGACGTTTGGTGCAGATAATTGTGGGCGGAGGGAGTATGTATTATATAAGGATTTATCAACAAATATATTAATTTTACGAAGTATTTTATTTAGTTTATAATTAAATGACTTAGTATGTTTATATATTATGATAACATAAGATCCTCAATTAAATGTTAGGACAATTTAACAACTGAGTTCGAACAAAAGAAACAATTACTCTGTAGTTTAAAAGAAAGCGGAGGATAGATAAAAACGAAACGATAAGTGAGGTAAAGGAAAATAATTTACCAGTCCACCAGTGACATAGGTAAGCAAAAAACAAGCAAGAGCCGAAGCAAGACATTGGATGATCCAATACAATAGAGATCTGATAATTGTGATGTTGCCACCAATAGCAAGACCAAGGGTAACAGCAGGGTTCAAGTGCCCTCCAGAAATGTTAAATCCTGCAGCAATCATCACTGCTACTACAAATGCATGTGTTATTCCCACGAATAACAACCCTACTATTGTACTTGCTCCTGCTTTATCTGTAAAATTCACATTTTTCAACCATATTAAAACATGCATGATAGGAATATAAACATTTTTCTCGATGATACCAAGTGATCAATTGACAATACAAAGTCGTAAATATCATCTAGCTTAGCTGGATAAAGTCATACGTAGTAAAAAATTATACTTCCTCCGTTCTTTTTTACTTGATCCGCTTTGACTTTTACACTATTCATCACCTCTCCTTTGATAGTCTTTTGTGAATTATATACATGTAAAAACATATTTATGTGGGATCTTATTTGACTTGACTCAACATGTACTATCATAATATATATTTTCTATAATTTTTACTTTTGGGGAATTAAAGTTATTGATCGTTAAAGTTAGGCAAGCGTGATAAATGAAACAGGTCAAGTAAAAAAGAATGGAGGAAGTAATATTTAAGATGAGTTTTCGTTCACATGTAACTAAACCTGGGCACGGGCCGGGTTGGCCCGCGTGCCGCCCGGCACGGCCTGCCGTTCGGCGCAGCCCGGCACGGCCCGAATTCAAGCACGACACGGCACTAAGTTCAACTCCCGTGCCACGGGCCGTGCCACGGACAGGGTTGAGAATTCCCAGGCACGGCCCGGCACGAGCACGGCCATGGCCCGCCGTGCACGGCCCGTAGGCACGGCCCAGAACGGCCCGCGGGCCAACGGTAATGTTACCGTTTATTCTAGCTCCTTAATAAGCCAAAAAACGGCTAGTTTTTTGCCAATTTGCTCCCCAAAAATTCTATAAATACTCACCTCCATTTCATTCCCAAATCACAAAATCACAATCTCTTCTTCTTATCTCTTATATTCGCTAAATCTCTAATAATCCTTATTTTCTTAAATTCTCTAATTATTATCTTAAATTCTCTAATTATTTTCCTAATATCGGAAAAAATTAAAAAGTTCGTAATCGTAATTAGTGGAGCGTTGAAGCACGGTTGTAAGATCTAAACTAATCTTAAATTTATTATTGTTTTATTGTTATTATTAGAATAATCTTGTTTAATTATTATTGTTGTTAATTGTTATTGTTGTTGTTATAATTGTTGTTACTAATTATTATTATTGTTACAATTGTTGTTATTATTTATTTTTGTTGTTATTGTTATTGTTATAGTTGTTGTTATTAATTATTATTATTGATATTTTTATTGTTAAAATTGTTGTTATTAATTATTATTATTATAGTTAACCGCTTTTTATTAAAAAATTAATTGTTAATTATGGCATCGAACAACCCATCATCTAGGTCTAGGGGGAAAGGCCGACTTATCCGTAGTAGTAGTTCTAGGGAACCACCAAATACAACGAGCCCCCAAATTACGAGTCAAACCAATGACCCCATTTACTTCCCCCCGGGCTATGAGCCATATAATACGTCGGGATTTCCAGCACCACCACTAAACCAATTTCCACTACCACCATACCAATTTTCACCTAATTATATCGGTGATCAACAAAACTATTGTTCTAGCCAAGGTAGCCAAGAAAGTACCCGAATTCCCTCCGGTTCTACCCCTTCTACTGCCACTCCCACTAGTCCCACTACTAACCATCACACACATCATGAATGGTTAACCGAAACTGAGATGCTACTTTTGAAAAACCGAAGGAGTGAGGTATGGCGTTATTTTGTCCTAAGTAAAGATGGTGAACAATGGGCAAAATGTAAAACATGTAATAGTGTATTCACGACAGTTACCAAAAACGGGACGGGACACTTATCTAGACACATGAAAGCTTGTGCAAAACCAGCTAGTGATCCAACCCACCAAAATTTCCCAATTCCATCCATACGGCTTTACATACAACTATGAGAGGGATAGGGATGAACTAGGAAAAATGATAGTACACGCCGAACAACCTTTTCTTTTCTCGGAAAGTGACGCATTCAACACCTACATTAACAAAGCACTACAACCCCAACATAAAAGA